CTCAGCAGCAATTATTTCTGCAGTAGGTGAGTGGCAGTGATGCCACATTGCATGCACACAAGGTAATGATGCTCTTCCCCATTTTAGCCTCTGTGTTGTTACTTTGGGGTAGATTCAGCAAAATAAAACATCCAGCCATTAATTTTAGACTAAGCTAAAAATCCATCCTGAAGGGCTTGGAAATTGCTGCAGAAATGAACTGCAGCTGAGAGCTTTTCACTGATCATAATGGAATGAAGTTTCTCATCTGGTTCCAGCTTGAGCTGCTACTGGGACTCTCAGCATTTGCTGGAGCATATTTGCTCTGTTAGGTCAGAATGTTTCAGGCTCTGTGACTTTAACCTCTGACACACCCATTTATGAACAAGACAGTTAACAGAATAAGCACTGTCTCTTTCAAATATATTTTTCTTCCTTGGAAGTCTTTTCCAACATAAATAATTTTCTGACTGTGTGATTCTAAATTGATGATTCTTTCTCATGCTAATCCTACTGATGAGGATTAAAACACAGACACTGATTTTAACAGAGGTCCTTGCATTGACTGTGTCCTGATTATTGGCTGCATCCCAAAGCAGCCAGAACATCTCCCTGAGGGGCAGGGCTGTGGTCTCAGGCCAGAGGGGCATCTAGAGAGGGTTTTGGTGAACCTTACGTTGACACAGCACGATGGTGATCACCAGGGCAATGAAGAGCAGGAGGCAGGCACCTGCTAAGGGTACCCAGATGAAGATGTGACAGAAGAAATTCAGATCTTCCTGTATTCTCTCTGCAGGAATAGAGAAGATGGAATGTCCACCAGGTGCTCACAGCTGGTGTTACAGACAGTTCTGGTGTAACCATTTTCCTGGGGAAAGAGCCTCAAGGGAGGCTATGTGGACAAAAGTTTTCTCATGTCTCCTGCTGAGGCTAAAAGCAGCCCCAAGGCTCTACCCTCCCTCCCCATGTTGCTGTTGTACCCAGGCATGCTCATGCTTTTTACATCATATTTAGCCTTTCTTAGGTTGAATGAAATATTGGAATTTAATCCTTGCATCTGTGATAAAGAAGCAGTGTGGATCTTCTCTCTCCCTCCTGATCCCCAAATGCCTGCAGGATTCCCCTTGGTGTCACTGGAGCAGAGTCCAGCCCTTCCCCTCTCCCTCCCTCCCTGCATTCAGGTTACCTGGATCCAGAGTATTGAGGTTGGGGTCCTCAGTTATGCCGTGCTTAGGGGTGGGTTCTGGTGTGGTGGGTGCCACTACAGTGGTGGCTGTAAGTGAAATGGATGAATTCAGCATGTAGGGACATACAATAAAACAGATCTCTCCTGCCCTTCTACTCTCAAGTTGGGATGGGGTCTCCCAAGAGCCAAGAGGGAGCTGCAGCCTCCTTGTTTCTCACTTTCTGACAGCATCCTCACAAAGCTGGAGCCCCCTGAGCTTGGTAATACTTTTGGGAGCTGCATGTGCTGAGGAAGGAGAGGATGGTGGTGGACTTTGCTTTAGTCTTCTCCCTTCAGAGCACATGGG